AAAAAAACCCAAAGCCTCCAGACATCCAACCAGCAACGGTTGGCCTGGCTTTGAGCAGGAGGCAAGGCACATGAGCTGATGCAAGCACTGGCGGGGAGTGGTGCAAGACGAGAGAGAACGTGCTCTGAGGGTACGTAAAGCCAAAGGGCAAACAGCTGGAGATCAGCACCGCGACACCCAAGCACCAACCTGGGACTCCCCGTTATTTCCTAGGTCCTGCCAAATGAGTTGACTGGAGCTTCTCACCCTGCCCGACACGGTGAGAATCGGCAGGGAGCGCGGCCGCGGCGGTGAGGACGAGGAGTACGTTTCTCCTCCAGCTTGTTCTGGCAACTGCTTCATACTGCGTAGTTCCCGTGGGTTTATCCTGCAGCATCTCAGGTGGGCTTAGTGCCCAAGCCGTGGTCCCGGCACACAGCGGTGCCGTGCCAGCAGGCGTTATCCTGCCCGGCACAGCGATGCCCCAGGTCACAGGGCTGAAGCAAGCTGCCGTGCTTGCACAATGTGATGCCAAGCCCCCAAACCCGGCAACCCTGGCCAGCTGGGTAGTTTTGCCTCCGCTCTTCCAGCCCCACAAACTGTTACGCTCTAAGGCCAGTCGCAGGGGGGTTTATTTTGACACACGTGCTTTTCTTTAGGCAGGTCATTAAGAAGCCCAAGTGAAAAGTCTGCTTTATCTGTAGTCTTTTACAATATTCCCTGTAGCAAAGGAACACTATTAGGGGATAATTCAGCCTCCCTCTCCTTCGTGTAAGGGCTATTGAAGCAGCCAAGGGCAACATCCTAACTTCAGTGTTTTACCTAAGTCAGGTGGGATTGGTCCTGACCTGATTTGATACAAGATAGCAAGATTTTTATTTTTTTTTTTGGAAATGCAAAGACTGCATATATACCAAAATACCATGATTTGGATTTTTTGAGACAAGGGCAAAGTTCTTAATTATAAATAATGATCTGAAATACATTATAAACAGAACCGAAGGATGGCGCTCAGTATTACAGCCATGCACTATGGAGAAGGCAACACTCACTTACAGCTTTAAGCCCATTTAAGCATCCCTAAGCCTCCCAGAGAAGCCAGTGAGCTCTGATGCCTTGGAAGAACGGAGGCACAGGCCGCTAGCCTGTAGTTTTTAAAAGCTGAACTGATGAGTATTTCAGTTTCCAAAACATAGACATGAAAAAGCAAAAGCAACCAAAGCATTAGCGTCCCTTTGTATTGACTGGCCTGTTTTAATCCCACAAGCCAATCTACAGCATTTAACTGATAGCTTCGAATCTCTAAGAAAGGAAAGGACCTTGAAAAGATCTGGTTTACAGCTCTAAGCTGATGAGATATAGCAGCCAGGATCATCTTACATTATTGTGAAGTTATTTAGACAGCTAGAGCTGTTAGCCAGGCTGCAATGAAGTCAGTAATGTAACACAGAAAACAGGAGTGTTCCCCATTGAGAATATGGAGTTCGCGCTGTTAGTATGCAGAGCTGGATTTAGTTCAAGAGCCTCTGCCGTCATATTGGCTTTATGACACTCGCTTTGCTTCCAGACATCACAGCGTTGGAAGTTTCTCTCCAACAGTCTAGCAGATGTCATGTCTAGCACATTTAGGCACCTTCAGATAAATGAAATCTCACGTAAGACGGGCTCCAGCGTGGTGCAAATACCTCTCAGGTGGTCAACCGGCTCCACCTGAGTTCCTCTACAGAGACTCAGGCTGGGTGGACCTTTCCCACTGGTGAATTCTTTTCACTTCACATGGGGTGTGAAGCAGCTGGATAATGATCTAAAAGCAACAATTAATGATATGAACTAAAAAAATCTGTTTGCAGACACGAATGCTTCTCAGCAGGCAGAAGCGCTCTGGGTGGGTTTTCTTTTTGCAAGCATCCACTACTGCAACTTACTGAATCTGTGAAGCTCTGAACACCGTTTCTCCTCCTCTCTCTGACCCTTCGCATTAGACAACCCTGCTGAAAAATCAGTTCCACGCCCAGCGTGTACTGCAAAGCAAGTATCAGTAACGAAGGAGGGGGGAAGGCACCGGGACAACGGGCTGTAGGAGCTGGCAGGGGTTGAGCCCTTCCCTACATGCAAGCTCCGTCACTGCCAACACAACTGTTTTCCTCCCTCCCAGAAATTCACCTGGCTGTCAGACCATCAATAGTGGCTACACACACGCATGAAGCCAGAAAAAAAAAAAAAATCTCCTTCGGCTCCTCTCTCCCCCTTATTAAGGGCTCAGAAAAATGAGCACCTTAGCAAGCTTGTTGAGTTACCCCATATCAGCTGAGCCTGGGTGATGGCACTTAGGACACACAGTCAATAGCAAACCCAAGATAAGACACATTAGCTCAAGCCTCAGTGATGGAGGTTTAAACTAATTGATTTAACCTTGAATTTGCAGTTGGTAAAGAGCATATGTGCAAGTAATTGTTGCGCCTCACCTTACACACGTTAAGCTGCGGCAATACATCTGCTTAGTCTAAGCTCCTCGTTTCCATTTCTGGATGCATGGCGTTAGCACAACAGGGCTAAGACTCTCTTCTGAATCCAAATTCAGTATCACAGCACAAGAGGGAGGTCAAAACAAGGATTAAAAAGTCAGGCTGGTCCATCAGGACAGTGCAGCCTCCAGCAATGCTCACTGGGGATAGAGTATCACAGGAACTTTTCTTAGCAATGCATTTTTCAGTGTCATATGTAACTAGATGATGAACTTAAGTCATAAGCATACTCCAGCGAAATGATATCTACATTAGTGCCTTCCTTCTGACACAGCAAGACATCCAAAATAGAGCATAACAAACTGGAGGGAATTCAGATCAACAGCTCTGCAGAAGACACTCCCAGATTTTGCAGCCGATGATCTCCAGAACTGCTGTATAAGCAAGCAGAAGTCTCCACCTGTTCATGCACAAATAAGATTAAAAAACCCAAACAGATGGTGACTTAATCCCCAGCCCCATCCCCAACTGACATTACACAAAATGAGGAACACGCCTTGCTTTAAACCTTTGCTTATACCGGAAAAAATCTTCAAAACTGGGTATCTGTAAGGACAAAGTATTTGTCCATTCCAAAGTACTGTACTAATTTGGTGATTTCACTCTATAGAGACATCCAACTTTAAAAACTGATTATAGGCCCAGAGTGTTCAACGGGATCAAGCAACAACTGAACGTGCAGAGGGAAAGCGGAAAACTCATGCCCAATGCCTCAAACAATCCAACCTGAGGAACGGAGGAGCAAACCTCGTGATCGCTTGAGGTGGCCTCCTCTGAAACTCATGGCTTATTTAACACACACTCAGTCAGGTATTCTGCCTTGGGGATGGTAACATCCACCATTCACCACCACTCCAATGTTCACCCTACCAAAGATCATTAAAAGGTAGAAAAACAGCCAAACCTGCTGCGGCTAATCAAGCAGCTTTAAAAACATGCCTTATGCTAATGATGTTTCTTAAAAGAAAAGCACAAGCTCGTCTCTGCTGTCCTGGTTCCCCTTCCCTCGGCTCCTACTGAAAGGCACAGTGTCTCTCCCTCTCCAGGTAGCAGCAAGTCCTATACCAGCCAAAGAAATCCCCCTTACTGGCTTTGCACAGCAACGCAACCCTTTGCATCTGGGACCAGGGAGAAGGGCCAGGCTCCCCTCTTGGTTTCAGAGAGGCAGCCAAGAGGATTTGCTCCTGTGTGTTCACAGTGTAGCGGCAGTGAATTTCCAAAGTGCTCGGGCTTTGCCAGAGCAAGCCTACCTTGCTGCTCAAAATGGGTTTCCTGCCAAACAGGTGCCTCTGAGAAGGTCCCAGAGCATGCAGAAGCACATCACTGTCTCAGACTTGAACGCTCACAGATTTTATATTAACCTACAGCAACATGAAACTTCACTCTCCTAAATTGGTTCACTCCATTCCTATTCTAAGGGACAATTTACCAACTGAATCTGCAGTAGGAAACGTTGAAGGGAGTTTTTTTGCTCTTCAGAAAAATACTCCACCATCTTACATTGCCCTTCTGCCTGAAATAAGCCAAAAACCCACGCAACCACCTCAAGGTTGTTTCAGACTGATTAAAATGTACCCAGTTCAGAATTTCATTTTCTTACCAATGAATAAAACTGGAAAGATCATATGGTGTTTAATAAGACCCAAATGTTCTGGTTAATTTTTAGAAAATCTAAAGCAGAGAGATGCATTTGCATCATCCTCATGGTATTCCCACTAGCGAATACACAGTAGGCTTTCCCCTAGCTGTAGAAGGCAGGTCCAAACCCATCCTTTAAGGTCCCTACGCAACTGGCTGCTAGCTGTGCCACAGGCAGACCCATCCTTCTCCAGACACAGACACGCTCAAAGATGATAACAGACCAAGGGGGCACAATATCTGAACCACTCATGCAACCGCTCACTAGCCTGCTTTGGTCAAAATACAACCCGGAGTTCAAACAAGCCCAGCTCACTTGGTCTGAACAGATGAGAGAGCAATCGCATGAGCAGCTCAGACAGCAGAGCCAAGTGTAATGCCTGCAGCAGCTGGAGGAGAGCTCACATAACGACATCTCCAGTGCCTAATGCATATGGAAAGAATCAGGTTCCTTGTAAAAATATAAGTTCACCTTCCACTCTCTCAGCATAACACTGATGGCCAGGAAGTCTTTTTAGAGTGGTAGACTGTTTTGGACCCAAGGGTCTGGTATCAGAAACATCCAGACACTTAAGTATTTTCTTGGTGCTACAAGATCTCCATACCTTTAAACCCATGGGCCTAAATGTCTGACCTCCCAACAAGTACTTCATGTAGAATGGTATGTAATTTTAAAGCTAGCTTTTACATGGGGTTTGAAATAGGTGTTATTGTTCAAATCTGTACTAAGTCAGTGTTATTTCATTTGTATTAAAGCAAATCTAAAGTAAGTTTTGACAAATTTTATTATTTTCCCGATTGTATTAATTTTACACAGTACAAAATTCTCTTATTTAAGCAATTTGAAAAGAAAAATGTGAAGTTCCACACAAAGCCAGCACTAACACATTTTGCCTAACAGGAAATACACCCTTATCAGATATTTTAAAGCTTGATGTTTTCAGTAAGAGCTTAATTTGTACTTATGTTTCAGAGTTCGCATGTTCATATGAAGCTTTCAGACATCTGGATTCCAGTTCAGGGTTTATTTGCATACAAAAATATATTATAATGGAAAAAAGCATTAAAAGTTCTCAACTATATAAAATTACAAATATATTTTCATAAAAGCAACTTTAAATTAAAATTCAAGCTATATTTTAAAGCAAAATACAGCTATAACAGTTATCTTATTCCATCTGCTGCAAAGTAACAAAACTGATGTTGCCAATTAAATACTTGTAGGAGTTTACAAAGGTTATGTTCAGAAGGCGAGTATCTTGGGTAGCAAAGTTATCAGAAAAGGGCAGCAGTTCTCAGTGATTGATGTCACTTATCCTTCAGAAGACATTCATAGGCAAGCACAATGCCAAAGGTTCATTTCACATACCTGGACATACAAAACAAGAAAGATCATTAAGTTCTATATTAAATAAGATTGCATGTTGTTGACATACTAGACACCCTATCTATACCCAGCTTGCTAGACTGCCTGACAGGCCAAAATTATGCCTTTTTTTAATTAACACGAGAGCCAAAAGGTTAGTGTGTAAAAACTTAAGGCTATTACTGTTCTAACCAGCGTGTTAGCCTTGAAAAAGACATCTGTACAAAGGTCTGTGTAACCTCAAGCATATAAATACAACTCCTCAAAAATGTGATAATAAATATCAGATGGAAGTTGGACTTCTTCCTCAGAATTCCCGTGTATGATAAAGATAGCGTATCACTGTAAGACAAGTGACACTGTATAAATGAGACTCTGCTGACATCACTAGAGATTCACTTAGCTAGGATTAAAAAAAATAAGCTGCCTAAACCCCCCAAACCCAAAACCCACTACAGCAGGTGGCAATCCCTGCCCTCACTTTCAATGTGCCTTGCAAGAAGACAATAAAACCTATATACTATAGGCAGCCCCTTAAGAGTTAGCTGCAACAGAGCTGTGCAAGATACAGCAAGGTAAATATTTGCTGGTTTGGGGTTTCATTGTTCTACAGAAACCTTCAAAAACTCAAAAGTTTTCAGTCAATTAGGTTTCAGTGGTAAATATGGAGTTAGCTCAAGCATACATCCATGACAGAAGTCAGGAAACTAGAAATATGTTTTAAGTAAGAGAAGTGAAACCAGGATTAAGATACAAGTAAGACAACAGGGAAGTAGGAAACCCATAAGAGCAGCTGTCTTAAGTCCAAGGCAGATGGCCAAGGCTTCAAGAATTACAGGGAAGGGAAAATACCTAATGAATGCAAGAAACTCTCAATTCATAGTTTATTTGGGGGGGGGGGTGTGTGTGCTCATGCTGCTGTTTAGGTCTAGTCCTACAATTTTTCACTTTGGGGTCTATAGTCTGGTTCCATACAAAAAAACCCAGTATCATCTCTGTAACAGTACAGGAATAAGCAGAAAGAATAGGTAGAGTACTTGGTTGAGAATAGGAGGGCATTTTTTTGGTTTTGTTGTTTTTCTTTAAAAATCATAATGAAGACTCTAGTATTGTAACTGGAAAATACAATTTCTAGATAGCGACAGAAAAAGTGATCTCAATTCTGTTCCTGGTAAAGACAAGCACAAACAGGATTTTGACATTTCATCTAAGTCAACAGATACAGATACCTGCTCCTTAATTCTTTTGTAAAGCAAAGTCCAGAATAAAAAGGTTTCCCCTCACCTGCAGTTACTCTTCTAGTTACTTAGCTTTATAATGAAGAAACAACCCCCCACTTTTTAGCTGAGTTTTGAGTATTTAAGAAAGTGATGTTTACTTGATCTATACACTGTGAAGGAGGGGTGAATTGCAGCTGCCTCAGAGGTGAGGAGGACAGGGGTTCACTGGAGTACAGCCTTTGTCACACAAGCTAAACTGCAGGCCTTGAACATTCAGGCAAAGACCAGAATTCAGTTTATTTTACCTTCTTGTCCACATAAGGATCTATAGGTCTAGCAAACCAAAAATGAAGCCACATTATATAAAACTATTGCTACCCCTCCCCCCATACACTGGCTTTCATCACTCTTTGACATTACCAACCGAGATGCAGCCTACTAATAAAAACCTACTTACTTGCTAGTGTCCTGTCAAGATCAGCGATGAAGTCTTCCAGTTCTTTTGTGTCTCCAAGCTTTGCTGCAAAATGAGAGTCAATACTGCTTAAACATGACATATTTCTCTGGCCAAAAGAAACACCGGAATCACACGATCCCCCAAATCATTTTCAGTGGTATCAAACATGCTGCAGACTATTTTCAGGGAAGTTCAATAGGGTTGCTGCAATGTCCAAATGCATTCATAGAAAACAGGGGAGACTGAATTAAAATTCTAGTTTTTATAGTTTTCCATTTGACAGAAGCAAAGCAAAGCAATCCTCCGTTCAGTTCCCTTAAAAGGCAGAGGTTGAAGTGGAGAATAAAGCTGTATGTCAACTAATCCATGTCCTTGCTACTGTGGGAGTCTTGCTTATTGCATATATTCAGATACTGCATTCATAATGTATAATCAAATGTATAATTCATAATGTATAATCAAACCCCACCCAGTTAGCTCCCAGTCCTACATAAATCTAAGTGTCTTAAATCATGTCAGTATCACTGGTTTGCTGTGATGTCAGGTCCTTTGATCTTGGTCCACACACTATAAATTTGGATCCAAACATCCACCTGAATTTCCACTCCTGAGAACACCACTGGTTCCATTCAATCTAGTTTTACTGCAAATAGCTTTCTTATCTCATTTCTATGGTCTACTCCAAGCTGCTTCCAACTCCATTTCTGTCTTTTTGTCTCCTCATCAGGAAGACTATCTTGACCTTTAGTGTAATTCCTTGCCAAGTATTTCCTACCAGTTTAACTGAACTCTTTTTTGCTACTTCTTATTAACTATTACTCGTTACTTCTCCGTAGTATCATGCTAATTAGAAAGAAAGAAACTTGTTTTTTTGTGACTGGTCACTGTGGAAAAGACATGAAAGCATGAAAAGCTCTTAAGCATGCATCTGAGAAGAGTAGTTGTAACTGTGTAGTACATATGTATGACTGTTCATTTACTGCTCTGTCTACTCCAGAGTTAATCTAAGTTAACCTGAATAAAACAAGTTCCTGGGGAGTTAGATCAGCTGCAAGACAAAAGCCACTTTGAAACAGCATAGCGGCAAAGGAGAAAGGAATTACTAATACATGGGTTGTATCAGCAATGCAAGGTCTATGTGGATCTGAGAAATTGTGTTAAGTTGAATGGCACCATATGGATTTGGAGGAGTCACCTACTGCACCCCTGCATTCAGGCTAAGTATTTCTGTATATAGATGGGACGCTTAAGTTACTTAGTCGCTTCAGTAAAAAGAAACACAAGTTAATTCTTAAGTGAAGTATTCCGTAAGTAGTACCATGATTCCTCATCAACCAAAAAACTGTAATTTTCTTTAGCTTGGTGTTTCAAAACCAAAGAGTTGCCAGGTCACCTGCAAAGAAGTGTAGATGCAGTGTGTTATTCTTGTTTATAATTAAGACAATAATACTTGAATCTGTAGCGTGCTCAACAGCAATCCTTAGTTTTGTTGTCATTAAAAAAAAAAAAAAGTCAATGCATGCATGTGAATCCTGGCTCACAGAAAGAAGCCTATGTAGTAAAGAATTAGGAAGAAATGCCAACAGTTAAAATTAAGCATACCTTTACATGGAGTTACTGATGGGGATGGCAAGCTCGGAGTAGATGCAGTTGGAGAGTTAAGCTTTTCATCACTGAGGCTGAAACTGTTTCTGTAGAGTGAATCTGCACCTGTAAAAAAAGTTACATGATAAAGTAAAACTAACACCTTCTGCAACTTTGCAATAGAATTAAAACCAGAAATGAAGCCTTTCCTATATAGGCTTCAAAGTCTGTAGAACTCAAATTTACAGACTTCAAAACCAGAGGGATAAATAAATCATCTGTTGTGTGAAGGCTGTTGTTCCCATACCTACTGTTAAAAAGCAAGCAGTCCTAGGCCCAACCCTCACCCCCAGGAAGGAAAGTGTCAGCTTTCCCTGCAGTCAGCATCATTTGGAAAATATAACAGGAATGGCAATTATCCCACATCCACGAAATTAGGCCTGGTATGACCTGCCTGATTCACAATATTCTGGGAAATTCTGGTTACCTGAATTTTTCAAAAGCTTTTCAAAAGGCTGAATAAAAAGCTCCAGGACAAGGGCAGTCTCCCAGAACAGAGAATATATTCAGCGTTGTCCTCATCCCTGAAGCAAACCCACCCATTTCTCCATACATTACTCTGCTGCTTTAGGTCTCACGTTCTAGATAAATGGTACGGCATCTTTTAATTTTCATTTATACCGTAACTCTCCAGAGTTCGTGAAGCAGTACATCTGTACACAAGATGTTCTGCAACCTTATTTTAGGTGATCTTTCAAAGAACGCTTTATATGCCCTGGAAAGCAACGGGAAAGGTTCCAATACCATTCTGATGTTCTTGGTTTTTAGACAAGTCCTTAAGTTTCAAAAGTATCAAGAAATGATCTTTGTCTTGTCTCATTTTATGAAAAGAGTTCCTTGATGTACAGTGCAGACAAAGTATTAGTCATGGCTCCGCTGGAAGGAGGAATTGTCACTGTATTAGAGACACTAAAACTGCTAGTTCCTGCAGTTTTGAGCCAGTGACCTGAAACCGGTAGTTCTACAAAAAGAAACCATTGTAATATGAACATGCCAATGGTCTCCACTTATTTGGCACACTTCCTAGGAAATAAATGTACTATGCTGACTACTGCTTCTTGCCATTGAGGCCAGCAGTTTTGCCCCCCTGCAGCACACGTAGCATTTGTCCTTGAAGCCCCAGCCTAGGAGGTGGTTACGCTGCAGAATTAAGTCCATCCAAGTCAGAATTGCCACACTTCCTTGGATGCCTGTCTCATTTGCTATGCCAGGAGATGACTGCCTTAGCTAAATTAAGTGTGTCTTGCCGAATTAGCAAAAGGGGGCAGGACCACAGCTTGCCTTGCCAAGATCTGCACGTCTACACTGCCACGATGTTTGCAGATATCAAACGTAGAGACTGTGCTCCACCAGACTACCCCTCTACTGTAAGTTCCCCCATCTTCGGGAAGAAGAGTGCATGTCCACACCCCATCTCCTCTAGGCCGCTGTCCTTACCAGCATAAAACCACCTTCCACGGGAGTATACGGGTACAGTGGCAAATCACACCAGACAATTGCATCTACTAAGTCTGTCAGATGTTTCCCCAGTCACAGGCTGATTGTCTATTCGTTTCTTCTGTGCTAGCTTCCAAGCCTACCTCTGTTGCAATAAACACCGAAGAGGCTTGTGTGAGAAGCTTCAGCCTGGAATATTTTCCTCTTTTGTATGCATGTTGGCCCACCACAGCACTGCATCTTTCACAGTTCGCTCTGCAATCAGCTCGGATCCTGTTCTACCAAACGCACGTGCTACCCACAGCACCACGCAAACGTGAGCGATGATGTGACCGACGTCTGGTACTTGGGACTACTGCTTGCCCAAATCAGCCACCAGTGGGTACTTCTTGTTTAGAAAGAGGGGTATGCTTCTTCACGCTAGCTTTTTATTGTAATTTCTTTATCTTCACTCTTAAGTGCCTGTTCTCTCTAAACCAGAGCAGATCAAAACTAATCTTCTTGAAACTTCAGATATAAGAACGGTTTGATGAATACAATGCAGAATTGAGATAATTTTAGATAGAAAAATGGAAAAATAAGCTATTTTAAAAGTAGCTCCTAAAAATGTAAAAAAACAATCTAAGGGGGCGGAAATCTGACACTGCTCTGCAATGATGTCTGTTACCAGTTTTGTATGATACAATATGAACCCTGTACATTAATGGACTGAAAGTTACAGTTAAAGGTATGACAATTTTCCTCCTGAAATCAGCTTACGGACCAACTTTCTACTAAACCCACATTTCTTTTCAGCCAAGATGCAAACCCTAGTGACCAAGAAACTTAGAACGGAAAATTCTAGCTGTTCGGGACAAAACCCCTACCATCACAAAAAAGCCAAATAACTTGCAACACCTCACACCAAACAGTCCTATAGCCAAGAGTACAACTCACCGAAACACTGACAGAACAGACCATCAAAGATAAAACACTTCCCAGGCAATATATTTGAAAAAAGCAAAACAAGAACTTCCAATTTATTTCATATTTTAAAGCTTTTAGAGCTCATTAATAAAAAATAATCCACATTAAAATGGCTACAAAACTGACTGTACTTTTAATGAGGAGTCTACGGTACTAGTACCCAGACACCAAATGTAGCAATGCTGGGAATTTATACTACAAACCAATCCTTCTCGTACACCAAACCCAAAGCTCCAGTTGCTCTTATATATAGCTGGAACAAAATGTTCTTCTTGTGAATGCTTGTGAGGGCAACTCAAATGACAAAAGTTTTAATAAGCCATTTCAATTGGCCACAAACTATTCACAAAATTCTTTTCATTTATATCCATGTACACATCCGAGCTAGCAGTCACCTTTGATTCTTTTTGTGGTTTTCTCTCCATATTCCTTCTATAAGCAGTTGGAAGTACTGACTGCTCACCTCACAATGTACTGAAACCAGAAAACATTATTTCATGGTGGCTTCCGCAAACCTTATGCTGGGAAATATTTACAACTGGGCAAGAGAAAATAAGACCAAACTGTTGCTTTAAGTATATAAATGTTTTTCTTCCAGTTTCAAAAGGTGAACTGTTTTCATAAAACAGTGGTATCTTCTGATGGGTTATAATATTAATAGTTACAGGAAAATATCAAGATTTCTTTCTCAAAAGGAAAACCACACTTTATAGCTACTGGCTGTGGCTTACACGTGCCACCAAGCAGCAGAAATTCTGATGATGGAAGGAGAAATGCATTGACTCCACCGTCAAGGTCATTATAAGGGCTGAAAACAATGTACTGTTAAAAAAAAACCTCGTGATATCCATCACACAAAAACAGCCGCTTTGGCAAACTGTGGCTGTAGGGCAGAAAGCTCTGGGAAAAGGACACTTTGGTCCTTGCTCTCCACCAGCTGCCACAGCCAAGATTTGCTCATTCACCTCCAATAATGGCCCTTGGAAGATTTCCACTGCCACACAAATACAACATGCCCTGCAACCCAATAACCAGAGGCTGATGCCACAGATCTCTCATCGCTGCTGTCCTTCCTCATCCAGCCCTTTCTCTCCCACTGTGATGCAAGTTCATCTATCATTCAATACTTTGTATTTTGTATTTTGATTCTACCGCCTGCACACATATATAAACTATGTCCCTTCGGCTGTTTTAAAGAAACACTCTAATACTGTCTCCTTAAAAAAAAACAACCAAACCTTAAAAATCTGAGACTTAAGCTACTGAGTTGACTTACAGGAGTTAAACTAAGCCAATAGCTGCAAAATTAGGGGGTTGGAATAAATATGGGTGTATTTTACTTTGGCAAAGTAATCTGTAGTTAGTATTGACCTTTGCTGTTCCAGTATATGGTTAAACCACAAAGAAAAAACACGGCAATACCATGTAAATATAGAATGTCCCCATGAAATGAGCAATTGAAAGGTTCTGGGCAGTAATTAACTGAAGGAGGAAAACCTCAAACTTTTCATTTTAAAACAGACAACGGAAAAGTTCAGCTGTCTGACTTCTTCAATATTATGCTCTTTCTAGTACCATAGTTAAGGATACAATTTTAAAGAGCACTGGAGTGGGTATAATTTTTACTGCAGTTTTCAGTGGGGAAGCTTTAGAGGAAAAAATAAATCACATCCCTAAAGTTTTCAGAGAGGAGCTTTAAAATTCCACTTAAGTTTCTACAAGCCATGAATTTATTTATAAAACAATAGTTCAGCATTTAATGAACACGACTGCACAACTCATTCTTAGTCAGAACATAGCCTACTTGCTAAAATAATAAAAAAGATAAAATTGGGAATTTCTAATGCCAACAGTAGAAAGTGAGAAATACTCATGATGCAAAGAGCTTGTTTCACAATATGTATGTTGCAGCCCTCAAGGATAGTGTTTATTTTTATCATAAACGCAGTTACACTTGGCTGCATTGTTTATTTTTTCTGGTTTTTGCCTAGCTAACAAACATCTCCTCCAACAGACACAAAAATCACACCTTTTCACTATCTACACATCTAGGCTTCATGATTTAAAAGATTTCAAATCACATAGTTACAAGGAAGTTATCTAGGAAGCCTGAAATTCAGATGTACACGTGTGCCTTCTCATAATAAACAGAGCTTACCATTCCACTCCCCCACCACACTTACTATCTGTGAGGCAGTGTTTCCAATTCCAACCTTCCCCTTTACTAATGCTTCCTTTCTAAAGTGTAAGAGAAACAGGTATGCTGGAGAGGTAAGAACAGGAAATCTTACAAAAAAGCACATTTCTCATTAAATTAAAATACCTGGAGAGAAGCCTATGCATCTGAAACTTCTGGGTTTTCTTCCTTTTGAATACCAGTAATTTCATAAAACATTATTTCTCAGATGATTTAATAAAAGGTTATTTCTCCATGAGAGTTTTGCTTCCATCTTTTCATTCTAAAGATTATATTGCCTTCTTGTTAGAGACAGGCCATTAGAAGTTCTCAGAAACAAACAATCTACCTCCTTAAAATGCTCTCCCCTTCATCACACAAGATTGGGATTTGCTGGTAAGACCAAAGGCTCACCTACCCCACATTCTCTCTCTCACAGTGACTCATAGCACATGCCTACAGAGGAGTTTAAGAGTGGTGCAGCCATACACTGATAGTTTCAAGATAAACTCTACCAAGTTCTAG